GGGTGGCGCGGGGATGGGGTGCGGGGGGCTGCACGGGGGGTGCGTGTGTGTGCACATGTGTGTGTGTGAGAGAGCATGTGTGCGAGAGCATAAGCGTGCATGGGGGAGTGCATGTCTGTGTGTGAGCATGCGCGTGTATATGTCAGAGGGGTGCACGTGAGCGCACATGCATGTGCGTGTGTGCATGAGTGCATGAGAATATGGGGGCTGTGTGCCTGTGTGTGTGTTGAGTGTATGAGCATGTATGGGAATGTGTGCATGTGTGTGAGCATGCATATCTGTCGGGGGGGGGGGGTACAAGCACACATGCATGAGTGTGTTTGAGCATGTGTGTGTGGCCATCGTTTGTAAATGCATGACCGTGTGTGTGTGTGCACATGTGAGCATGCAGACATATATGTCAGCAGGGGGTGCATGCAAGCATGCATGAAAGCATGTGTGAGTGTGAGACCTTACATGTTGGGGGTACATGCATGTGTGTGTGAGTGTGTGTATATGTCAGCAAGGGATGTGTGCAAGCACACATGCATGTGTGAGAGAGTGGGAGCATGCATGTGTGTATGAGTGCATGAGCATACATTTGAGCATGAGTGTGCTTGTGTAGGGGTGTGCACGTGTGCATGCGTTAGTGTATGTCAGCGGGGGGACTTGGGCCAGTGTATGCATGTGTGTATGAGTGAGAGTGTGTGTGTGTGCATGCGGGTGTGCATGTGTATGTATAAGCATGCATGTGTGCATGTGAGCATCCGTGCGTGTGTGGTATCTGTGCAGTCATGCATGCCTGTGAGCGTGCACAAGTATACATGTGAGTGTGTGTATAAGTCAGTGTATGTGGAGGTGTGCATGCACGGGCACATGCGCATGTGAGCATGGGTGTATATGGACAAGCATGTATGTGTGATTTCGACTGGATATTGGGAAAAATTATTCCCCAAAAGGGCAGTCAGGCACTGGAACAGGCTTCCCAGGGAAGTAGTGGAATCACTGTCCCTGGAAGTGTTCTGAAACTGTGTAGGTGAGGCCCTCAGTGACATGGGTTAGTGCTGGACTTGGCAGTCCTGGGGTAACGGCTGGACTTTATGGTCTTAAAGGTCTTTTCCAATCTGGTTGATTCTATGATTCCATGTGAGCATGCATGTGTGTGTGAGTGTGCATGTGAACATGTGTGTGAGTGTGCATGTGAACATGTGTGTGAGTGTGCATGTGAATGTGTGTGTGCAAGCATGCGAACGCGTGCACATCTGTGTGCAGTTGGGCTGTCTGTCTGTGTGTGTGCTCACACGCATGTGCAGGGCTGCTGGGGCAGGGGCTGTGTCTGGTGGGTGCCCCGCTCCCCACGCTGGGTTGCGGTGTGGGTGCCCGGTGCCCTCACGCCGCTCGCAGCGCTGATTTATGCCAGCATCTTCGGGAACGTGTCAGCCATCATCCAGCGCCTGTATTCGGGCACCGCGCGCTACCACACACAGATGCTGCGCGTCCGCGAGTTCATCCGCTTCCACCAGATCCCCAACCCACTGCGCCAGCGCCTCGAGGAGTACTTCCAGCACGCCTGGTCCTACACCAACGGCATCGACATGAACGCAGTGAGTGCCTGGCTGTGCTCCCACCACCAGAACCATAGCACCCCACAGCCCTCGCCATGACACCCTGTGTTCCATAGGTGCTGAAGGGCTTCCCTGAGTGCCTGCAGGCCGACATCTGCCTGCACCTCAACCGCAGCCTGCTGCAGAACTGCAAACCCTTCAAGGGTGCCACCAAGGGCTGCCTGCGCGCCCTGGCCATGAAGTTCAAGACCACGCACGCCCCGCCGGGGGACACGCTGGTGCACGCCGGGGATGTCCTCACTGCACTCTACTTCATCTCCCGTGGCTCCATCGAGATCCTGCGTGGGGATGTGGTGGTGGCCATCCTGGGTGAGCCCCCAGCAATGGGGTCCTATAGTCCCCACCATGCCCACCCCGGCCTGACCCCCCTGTCTGGTGTGTGTGTTCCAGGGAAGAACGACATCTTTGGGGAGCCGCTGAACCTGTATGCACGGCCTGGGAAGTCCAATGCGGACGTGCGGGCGCTGAACTACTG